GACGTCACATTACCCACTAGAGCCATTCCTCTTTAAACTCGGTCGTGGGGCAAGATGGCGGCCGATTTTCCGTATTTTGACTGGGCATAGAAAATTGAAGATTTGAGCAAATAAAAAAATTTTTGCGCAGAAATACTCAAAAAAATAAGCTTACTTCGTTAAGCGAAAAAAATTTTTTGGCTGTAGGTGCACTTTAAATAGATTCCATGTCAGTGTTGCCACGCATCTGTTCAGTAATTGATCACAGATGAGGTCAAAGTGTGGTAAGAACAAAAACGTGGTTGAGAGAAGGCGTCAGTGATATTCTTGTCACTTCTTAATGTCTTATGTAATAATCACAGATGAGGTCAAAGTGTGGTAAGAACAAAAACGTGGTTGAGAGAAGGCCTCAGTGATATTCTTGTCACTTCCTAATGTCTTATGTAATATATTACTGAACAGACCCGAGCAACATGGAATCTATTTGTATTATATAATAAAGAAGCAAAAAGCTGTTCATGATGACGTCATATGTGCTTCTGTCCTCCAATAGATGATAACAGGGTCCTTACACTTTTTAAGGAACCAAATTCAGAGACTTTCAAAGACTTTTTAGGTCATTTTTAAGGACCTTGGCTCTCAAATTCAAGGACCTTTTGCATTACATAGGAGCTAATAGAAATAAAAACATTGCGTGCAAGACGGGCCGAAAAGTCCAACGAGCGTGACTTCAAGCACGCACATCAGAGTGATCACGCGCTAGGTAACCAAGATTATTTTCGATGCACTTATCAGGTACAAAATATATAAAATCACGCGTCAAACATCATAATCAGACGCGGGATTGGAAAGGAAAACTAGTTTTCGTGATTTTCGCTTGAAACTTACACTTTCAACACCGAAAACAAAAGAAAACTTCCACTTTGATTCATCTGCACTTATTTTCAAGGACTTTTCAGAAAAAACGAGGACCCGAGTCTAAATTCAAGGGTTTTCAAGTCCTTGAAAACATGAAAATTAAATTCTTGGACTTTTAAGGAGCGCGGAAACCCTGTCATAAGCAAGGACCAATCAAAATTCGTGCATAATTCAACTTATTTTATCAAACGCAACTTACGTATACACAGTCCACCATGCCGCACTCTGACCTCGTGATATCTCTTGCAGGCAGCTGCAGTCAGCTGACAGATGTTATCGTACGACAAACCGTCCGTGCCACACACTCGGTTCTTCGAATCACCGCAGGCATTTGGGTCAGGACAGGTGCACGTGGCTATTCCAGATGGCGGCACCAAACAGTACGAGTAGTATTTACAATCCAGCTCATCACAACTCGGGTCTGAAAAACAAAAGCTACGTGTGAAGAGGATCGTCATCCTGATTTCACGAATCATATTCTCTATTGTTGAAATCGGGAGGTTCCCTTTTGATTTTCTCCCACTTGGAGAAAGCAAGAAAAGAGAGAAAGAATAGAAGTGGAGACATGTTTTTAACAGTTTAACCCTCCTCTCTACAGAAAATATTATTCCATTTATGTTCTTCTCCTTATCAACCCCTACAAATGTAGCAAGCTTTCCTTTTCTGCAATAAAGAAAATGCTGACAATGGCCACTTCGCCCGCAAAATATTTTTTAGCTTTCTTCAAGCTGGAGATTTAAATTACATCGGCATTGCAAAAAAACTTATTAAAAACAGGATATAAACTTACCAGTAGCACATCTTCCTGTATGTCTCGGCACGATCCACTTTTGCTCTTGACAAGCCGCCAGTTGCAGGGCCACCAAGTTTTTGTACGTCTTACCATCCGAGCCACAGACTGGGCTGTTGACATTACTAGGCACCAGGTTGCACTCGCACTTTGCCACATCACCTTTGACACACTTTGAGTAGAAATGACAACGTTTCCAGCGACAGTCGTCAAGATCTGGAAACAAAAACGTAATTTCAGATGAAAACAACCGCCCCGCCGGAGTGTGTTGTGTTGGAGGTCGAGGGTTCGAGCCATGGCCGGACCAATACTCACGGTCTTAAAATAACTGAGGAGAATTTGCTACTGTTGTAATATTGAAACCTTTGGGGATCCCCTTAGGGACCCCTGAATGACTTCACGGGCACCCCGAACACGGGAAGCCATGTGCGCGTTAGACTATCGAACTTCATAGTTAGCGGGCATTGAAAAGCTCAGTTTATTGTTGATTTTTGACTGAATGACATTACAACAGCTACCTTTCTATAATATCGAGAAATGGATAGATATTCTACTCTTCTCGGATGAGGACGAATAAACCGCAGGCCCTGTCTCCTGCAGGGTTAGGGGTAGGAGACGTTAATTTCCCACGCACGAGATTACTGTGTGATGGATGTCCTCCCCTGGGGTGGTTGCTGGGAGGGAATTGTCCCTGAAAAGCCCTCATGGGGAGGGGTAAACTGGGCTACCCTGTAAATAACATGGCAAACTTGATATGTAGTTATGAATAAGAGAAGTCAGATCCCAAACAATGCTCAAAGCTGTGCCTGTTAGGTCGCCATGGCGAGTAGACAGACAAAATGTCGGTCACTAGATTTTCAGTAAAATTCGCCAATTGAAGAGCCAGTGTTCAGCTGTCATGTTGCCAGTTTTCGTGGTCTGAAGTAAACACGAGGTCCTTTTCCCCCTTTGGGGGTTCGGGCGGCACGCTCCCCCATTAAAAAATTGTAATCTAGAATCTCGGAAAACTTTTTATTGACACCTCTGTAATTTTCCTGTCATTCCTGACCAGTCAGAATACTTCGTTCATAGATAAACACAAGAAATTGGAAAATCCATGACTTGTGGGGAGGCTCTTGTTTCAAGAGCCCCCATGCTGATTCTAACTCACTTGCGTGAAGCCCCCGCATAAACGAAACACGAGCGCCTGCCTGCATTGTTCTCTGAGTATTAAACGCTTAAATGTCGCGTGACTTTCCAAAAAACCTATATTAACAGCCATATTGATTTATTTTCAAAGACAAGCAAAGTAGCCAGCTTTAAAGTATGTTACGGTTTTTAAAAGTGTCTTTTTGGGTTTGTATTTCTAGTGACTAAAACTTAATTTCTGGGTTGCCACGTGGCGACTTTGAAACTTTTACTAAAAATCGCATATCATTTCCCCCAATATCTCTAGTCTTGCTCCTTTTCTTTTCTTTATTTTTATTTGTGTGGTTGGATCAATAAAATAGTAATACTAACCGAAGGCCTGTATTTGGGGCGTTTAGTTGTGCAGCTTCGAAACGGATATAATAATCAAAGTGGCAGTTCAGCTTTGTAACCACTTACATTTTTAATTAAAGCTCGTGTATTGCATACACTTGTTTGATCTCCAAATCACACAAATGATCTCAAGCCAATCGCAAATCACTCAGTTCCATTACCATTATTTAAACCACCCCATGGGAAGAACAGGCCATTTTACAGTTGTGTACTTAGTTGCCAAGCCTTTGATTTGGAGTGAGGCTGAAGGTGACCTTGTCATGATAGAGACCTGTATCTAGTTAGCATGATAACAAAGTGATTTACATTTGAAAGGCAGCAAGGTTTGTATCATAACAAGGTCACCCTTAGCCTCACTCCCATTCAAAGGCTTGGTAACCAAGCACACAACTGTAAAATGGACTATTCCTTTGAACAGACCACTTCACCTTTTCCTAAAACACTTCCCATCAAAATGACACCTGTTTTCCCTTCAAAATAAGAATAAATAGATGGTTTACCTTGTAATATCTTGTTCACTGTTGGTTGTAACATCACTCTCAACCGACTAAGTGACCCCACAGTCAAAATAAAATCCTCTCCTGAAGCAATGGGTTTCACATTGTCTAATCCATGATCTTCGTCTCCGACTAGAAGCACTACTACTTTTATTCCTGCATCTTTTAATGCATTGGACATATCTATAAGGCCTTGAGAAGAAGTCACACTACTTCCATCTGTTATCAGTACAACAGCCTGAAAATTAAAATAATAACCATCTAATGTGCTTGTATATTTTTGCATTTTGCTGTGGCCAGGATCCCAAGAAGTGACCCGCACATAACTGCCTTCAGTTTATATTAGTAGTCTCCTAAAGCATGACAATGCCTTATTGTACTTGCACAAAATAATGTTATGCTTAAGTGTAAATGCCACCTCAAACTTGTGCACTTTTTGTATGTCCTGCTCTTATTTTATAAATAGATGGCTGAGGAAACTGGGAAATTTTGAGAACTTTTAAAAGGTGGCCAAATATCAATTATCACCTCATCCATGAAAAGAGGCAAGAAGCCTTATTAACATTGCTTAGCTAAGCTGTCAGTAACTTTGAAAGTAGAAGGCTGCTGGGAAAGAATATGCAGCCAAGTTACCATGACTGCCTTCTTGTTTTGCCAAAGGGCTAAGGCTCAAAACCTCGGCCTTCAAAACGTACTACGACTGCCATTTTATGTAGTCAACTTAGTTAATAAAACCAAACTATTTTGCCCTCTTGTTTTGTAGGACTGCGAATATGACTGGGAAATATTTAGGTAAAAAATCCCAGGCATTCCATAATAGTCATGCAATTGTGATAATGGAATTGATTGATTAAAAATTGTTACTGGTAAATTATACCTTTGATTCCACTCAAAATACAGAAAGGACTATTTTGTAAATTTCTCTGATGGTTTTTCAAATTGGGATATTTTTCTTAGGAATTCTAGCAAAATAAGATCAAGGAAACGGGCTAATGATGGTAAACTATAAACTAATAGCATTAGGTATCTGGGAAAATCATTGACTGACTAAGTAGGCCATTCATTCTTTTTAGTCATTGACTATACGAAGGACAAATACAAATGCCATACCTTGGGGAACTGACTATATCTCAGCCGGCTGTCATACTCCACACTGTACAAAAGGCCAGGAACAGAATCTCTCATTGCCTGATCAAGTGATGTCTTTCTATCAGTGCTCTGCAGGGCACTGATATAAGCAGGTAAAGCAACATAATTGTAAAATGTTACAAAATCCATCTTTGCTGTGCCACTTAAATCAAACTTCAAAAATCCATGTGCTATTCCTTGTTCAGGGATGCGGAATCTGTTTCCAAGTTCCTTGTAGAACTCTTTAATTTTCAGGACATACTTGGGCTCTTTCATAGTTGCAGCATCAATGCCAAACATAAGATGAACAGGTTGTTTTACTCCTATAAGAAAATCAGCCTAGTATCAAAGACCATTTTGAAACATGCAAAGTGAACCCTTTTCCCAACTGTGGCTTCAAAGCTCAGTTGGCACTTGTACCACCAAACTAGTATCTAGGAGCAATGGGTTTGAATCCAGTTGAAGCCAGATTTTTTTCAGACTTCTTTTCTGCAGTTTGTTAAATTGCAGTTCACCTGTGAGGATTGTCGCTTTCTTTGAAATCTACTTTAACCCTTTCATCCCATTAGAGTGACCAGCATCGAAATTCTCCCCCACAATATCACCCTTGAATCACACATAAAGATCACAAGAATTATGGAAATGATCAACAACTACAGAAGCAGTAGTGGATCACAATGTGGTAAGGACGAAAAAGTGGCAAACAAGATGCAGCCAAATGTGTCACCATTTTTCTTACCACTATTCAACATCATCCATGACCTATTACTAAATAGACATATGTCAACATAGAATCTATATTTTATACGATATAATGCAATTATTGTTAATGGTGATGTCATGCATGGGTCTGTCCTGCAATATAGATCATGAGTAATGACCAATCAAAACGCACGTATCTTTTAGCTTATATTATTATTTACTAAGAATTTCAAAAGGGGTGAAATTAATAATGACTGTTACATAACACTGAGATTAAGGTTATACGAGAAGACACAAAAGGTTTCTTTTAATTTTGATCAACCCAAATCGAACCTAAGAGCGAAAGGAAAATAATTCGAACGAGGTACATACCACATGCTGCCATGCTCTTCACTTTGATCGTCACTCTCCTTGTGCAAGATTCCCTTTGAAGTTCACACTCATTTTCGTAGGTCTTTCCATCACTTCCACAGACAGGTGAATTCCCCTTGGAACAGTTTGAAGGACACTCACACACATGGCTGTAACCATCTACGGATCGGCGGCAAATAGAGTAGAATTCACATACAATAGACTGGCAGGGATCTGTGAAAAGGAAATATTGAATCGGTTAGTACATAATGCTGACATTCCAGCAACATCAAATGGAAAATGGGATAATCGAGACAATTGGGGGCGGTGGTAAGGTTTTTATTAAGTCAACAGTATGAAATTATAACGAACAAATGTCCTGAGTAACCTGAAAGTATTTAGATGAATAAAGGCTGATAGTTTCCAAAGAAACTGTTTGGGGCTGCGTCGGTGGGAGTAACAAAATAATTTGAATCTATCAACAAAGTTGAAATGGTAAATTGGCCACCGTAACGATTACAAAAGCTGACGTTTCGCGCGTTATCCCTTCGTCG